TTTGTGCTGAGTTTTTAACGAGTGGAAAGCAAATTAAAGAATTTTTTGTTATATGGTACCACCCGCATAACTCGGCAGCTAATTAGCGCACTGAAATGTTCCAAAAGGCAAATTGCTCAGCCAGGAATTCCACTTTGTTAAAACATCACGATTTCATGCTGCTGCGCTGATAAATTCGAGGTTTTTTTGCCGATTTCAGCGCTCCATATGCCAGAAACTTCATATTTGACTAACAAATGTCTTTTTGACTCACAGAAAAAAATTCCATTATGTGTTACTGCCCTCATGTTACCGCAGCAACCTAGCGGAAATACGATGATTTTCACGAAATTTTTCAACAACTTACAATTTCGATATCTTTTATGACTGATTGCAGAAACGAGCATGTAAAAAAATTATATTACTTGGTAGCACCCTCAAAACTTTTTTTTTCAGCCTCCGTTTCATGGCGGCAATCGCAAAGCCACCATAGAACTGATCCTGCGCGGCAAGCTGACGTTTCCCCAATATATGACAACTGACATGAAGGACATTCTGCGTCGCCTGCTGAAAAAGAAGCCACAAGACCGTCTGGGGGCGCCACCGGACGACGCCAAAGCCATCAAAAAACATCCATTTTTCAAACACATCAACTGGGAGGACGTGATGAACAAGCGAATCGAGCCCCCATACAAACCATGCGTGGTAAGTCACTGTCATCTGTCATCACACGCAGCCTTTGACATTTCCAGCTGTTTGCTCCATTTCAGTCCAGTGAAGATGACGTGTCACAGTTCGATCCGAAATTCACTCGGCAAACGCCAGTCGATTCGCCAGTTGACTCGTTTTTGAGCGAAAGCGTCAATATGATTTTTGAGGTGAGTGACAATGTGACGGATGGCGTTTTGACGCTAACGACGTTTCGTCTGTGTTTCATCTTCAGGGTTTCACGTACGTGGCACCGTCGATTTTGGAGGATTTGTACAAACCGTCGATACTAAAGTCGCGTTCGCCTCGCAAACTCGGCTCGTCTTCCTATCGTGTGCCCACGCATCCTTTTGGCTTCAATTTGCCGAGTTTCGGGCCCTCCTCATCACATCCCCACCACAATCTCCACCAGCACGGGCACAATCATGTCGGCTTTCACGATCAGGCTGCCCCCTATGATGCACACTCGTCCGGTAAGTAGTCAGACGTCAATTATTGCCGTTAAAATCCATTGAAACGGCGAAAATTCCGACCGTTTGGAGGCAAAGTGGATTTTTTTCATTGGGACACCCTGTATATTATGCAATTTTTCAATTCCCCGGCCAATTCTAGCCTGACTTGATGTGTCGCACTTGGTGTCTCAGTTGCGCCGTTTGTCCGCTAGGAGGCTTCAACTGTCAACTGTGACATGTCGCGTCAGGCTCACCGGAAAAGTTGTTTTGTTGGTGAATTACTGAGGATTTCGGACTCTCGAAGCGATTTTCAGGATTCAGGAAGGACGCGCGATTGAAGTTTTTAATGCTAGATTTATTTGCTGCATCGATATTTTCTCCGACTTCTGCCGACATATGGCAACGTCGCATGCGAAAACTTGCAGGCACAATGCGAAAGACTGTTAAATTATCTATGAAATCACCTTTTAAGTGAAGCGATAGTGGAAGTGGAAATGAAGTGCACATGGACGCAACAAATGTACTAAACCTATTTGTACATATATTGCGCAAGAGTTGATTTCCTAATCAAAATAGCACGCGGTCGGGTTGGCTTTAAAATAAGTCAAACCGCCTTGATTTATTTGCTGTATGTGTTGAGATTGACGCAACAACTGTACTAAGCCCAATTGTACAATTTTTGCTTAATTGTACATTTGCAAAACAAAATGGCAGTCAAGTCAAAATCAAGTTGACAATAAAATCAGTTAGACATCGTGAATTTATTTGCTGTATGTGTTGACAGTGACGCGCACAATTGTACTAATCCAAATAGTACAATTTGTCTGGGAGWGTACATTTTCAAATCAGTATGACTTGAAATGACGAATTAGTTATACGTCGTCGATCTATTTGCTGCATGTGTRRACATTGGCGTAACAAATGTACTAAACGCAAATATCAATTTTTTTGTTTCATAAACAAAATGGCTAGTGGCTCGAGTTGACAATAAAACTAGTTAGACATTTTCAATTTATTTGCGTCATGTGTTGACATTGACGCAGCAATTGTACTAAACTTGGTAGTACAATTTTTCCGCCAGTGTGCATTTCGAAATCAGAATGACTTGAAATAAAAAAWTWGTTAGACGTTGTCGGTTGATGTACTGCATGTGTGGACATTCGCGTARCAAATGTACTAAACTCAATTGTACAATTRTTTGTACAATAATTRATTTYCTAAGCAWAATGAAGTCKGTCCAGTGACAATAAAATTASTTGCATATTTTTAATTCAKTTCCGTCATGTCTTGGCATTGACGCGTCATTTGTACTAAACCTAATTMAACAGTTTTTCCGCGATTGTACATTTCCAGTCAAAATGACTTGAAAYSAAATTAGTTGGACGTTGTAGAGTYATTTSCWRMKTATGTGGGGATGGACGWWRYAAATGTACTGAACCCAATTGTACAATTCATCAACAAMATGACGGTCTGTCKAGTTTGTTAATAAAATTAGMTGGACATTTTGAATTGATTTGCTGCATGTGTTGACAATGACGCGCACAATTGTACTAAACCTAATTATACAATTTTTCCGCAAGTGTACATTTTCAAGTCAAAATACTTGGTATGAAAAATAAGTCAGACGTCGATTTTTTTATTGCATCTGTGAACGTTGGCGTATCAAATGTACTAAACCCAATTGTCCACTTTTTTACGAGAATTGATTTCCTAAACAAAATGTCGGTCTGTCGAGTTGAGAGTAAAATATGCTGCGTCTGTTGCCATTGACGCATCAATTGTACTAAACGAAATTATGCAATTTTCAAGTTTACCGTAAGTTAGACTGTCAGTTAGACGTCGATTTTCTATTGCATCTGTGGACGTTGGCGTAACAAATGTACTAAACCCAATTGTACAACTTTTTCACGAAAATTTATTTCCTGAACGAAATGACGGTTTGTCGAGTTGACAATAAAATTAGTTAGACATTTTGAGTTAATTTGCTGCGTGTGTTGCCATTGACGCATCAATTGTACAAAATATAATAGTACAATTTTTCCGCTAGCGTACTTTGCCAAGTCAAACTGACTTGTTGTTGTGAAAAATTGGTCTAATCTACTTAACAAAATAGAACCATTTTTCACAAAACAAGTGTGCATTTGCAGAACAAAATGACACGCGCTGTCGAGTTGACAGTTGACATTGACGTAAAAAATGTACATTCGTTTACGAAAGTTAATTTTCTAAAATAATTGGTGCGCTGTCGAGTTGACAATAAAGTTAGTCAGAGGTTTTTGATTTAATTCCTGCATTTGTGGACATTGACGGAACAAATGTACTAAACCCAATTGTACAATTTTTCCACCATAATTCATCACCTAAACAAACTGACAATCTGTCAAGTTGACAACAAAATTCGTTAGACATTCCTGATTTATTTGCTGAATGTGTTGACATTGACGCATCCATTGTACAAAATCTGACAGTAGAATTTTTGTTGCAGGCGCCAGTGGTGGCGGCATCCCGATTCGCCGGCCATTATCTCATCAGCACTGTCCCGAAATGATGGAAGTCAGTAGCGGAGGCGGCGCCGGCGCATTATCCCACGTATAGTACAATTCGTTTAGTAAAGTTAACCGGGAATTTTCGTTCAATTTTTCCGGTCGAATTGGAAACACGTTTCGGATCGTTTCGGGAACCACCATCTTCAATGTGTGTACATAGTTGAAAATAAATAAAACGACTGATTTTTTAGCGGTTAACACCAATTTTAGAGCCTAAGACGTGTGTTGTTGAGTCGTTTTCATTTTCTCTACTTCCTGAGATTGTCGATAGTTCGGTTTGTTTTACTGTCGCGAGCAATTGATGCGTTGTACAATTAATTGCGCTGATTTGATGTGGAAATCAGTGCGCGATCTAACCTCACATCGAAGCAGTTTCGCGGGGCATCCCACATACAAATGGTGCCAAATTGTCCAAAACATT